TCATAACTTATTTGCATACATACGAGTCGGGCCTAGCAGCTGTACTTTCACTCTATGTGTGAAGGTCCCCCGAAATATACATATATAGTATAGTATACTATATATGTGCGCCATATCAATTACATTACATAGTCCTCTGGCCAAAGCATTTTGTGTGCTGCGCAAATCTTTTCCAAATTCAGTCACGTTTCCATAACACACTGACCAGGACCAGGATCTCGACCACAACAGCCAGTTGGCCAGTTGGCAAGTTGGCCAGAACCCACATGAAAGTGTATTAAATTCATGCTGAAGTTGGGACTTTTCGCCCACACCACATAGTGCTAGTTTTCGGTCGGAAGGAGTGCGCTTAGAAAGCCATAAAATATTTATGTCTCAGCCAGTTTGCGAATGAATTTGAAGGCCAATGCAGGAGCATAAACTTTGATACACTCAGCCGGGCCAATCGCCAATCGGCAATCGCCATTTGCCAATCGCCAATCGAATTGTGAATTGACTTGGGGCGAGTGGTGGGGAATCGATAAGGCAAACAATATGCAAGGGCAAACAAAGTTGTTCTTGTTCTGTTCCCATTTTACTGGTCATCGTAAAGAGGTTTCCTTCATTCAATAGTTCTTGTTTTTTCAACGACCATAATTGAGCTCTGTTGACCAACGCAAATAACAAGTTGCCTTTAATCGAAACAAAAATAAATCGATAAGCTAACATGGAAAACAGTTTTCTTTTAATCGTGAAAAACAAAGTATTTAGTTGGTGAATAAAAAAAAAATTAATATGGTATGTTTTTTAAGGGAAGAAAGGAAACATTATTAGCTGGCTGCTGGAATTAATATATGCTAAGAAAAATAATCATTGTGATTATAAAGCTGTAATCGATAAACAAATAAGCTATCTACTCAGCCAAAGCCACAATAAAAAGTAGGATAATTTTCGCCATGTTGTTTGGGTTGCGTCCTGTGGTTTATTTATATATTTATTATATTTTTTTTATTACTCATACGCCTGGGCAATGTTTGCGTTATTTCTTTGGTTCAACGGCTTATGAAATTATGATAGTAAAACCCGACTACGGCAATGGTAGCCATTTGAAAACTCGTAAATCAACCCACACGCAATGTCTGCTCCGTTTGGCAAATATAAAAAGAATTTCTTGTCCGCTTTCTTTTTGAAAAAGACGAACGAACGAACAAAAATTCAATTATTTGCCATATGAAACGGTCATTGACTGACTGATGGTCAGTGGCAAAGGTTGCTCCCGCCTTTGTTGTCGCTTTTCTATGGTTTCCATGGTGCCATGACCCCTGCCCCTTAACCCTTAGGCTGGCCATTAATGTTTACGAGGGAGCGAAGAAGTTGCAATATTTCGTTTTTTGGGTGGCAACCATAAACGTTATTTCCATTGATATGGTATAGCTGGCTGTAAAATCGGCAAACTGTGGCTAAACTGGGTAAATATATATGCGAAATTAGAATTTCATCGCCTAATCTGAATTTCCAATTAAGCCCTGCTCATCGGATCCGGATACGCACACAACTGCGACTCATTATCGCGTATTGGGTTTCCAAAATTTTAAGCCACAATTCCACATCCTGTGTGCAATACTCTACACTCAGAAAAAGAACAAAGCCCAAAGGCTTGAAGGAGAGTCGAGCCTAGAATGCGTTAATATATTTATTTCAAGAACGTTTTACTCTTAAACCATCATTTATCTAAGAACATGTTCTTGAACCAAAACTTAGTTATGATTAAATTAAATGCGATTTTTTTGTATATCACCTATAAGTTATTCTCAAAGAACTATAAGACATTCTTAAGCCCAGATTAATCGTTGCTTTGTTTTATTATTTAAATATACTCACTATAACTCTATATAATTGAAAAATCTATAAAGGTTTGCGGATAAAAATGTGTTTTTCCTACGAAATATTTTTGTGACAATCACAAGACCAAGAAGAAATATCCTAAATCATTGTCAGAACTTAGGATGTTTTTTTTCTGAGTGTATGAGCTGTACGCCCATTTCCATCCGGCCAATCTGGGTGACAGGAGGCGAAGGACGAGGCGCGAAGGTCACACATCGATGGGCAGGCATAACTCCGGCTTATTTACTGCTCGCATGTGTGTCCTGCGTCCTGCGTCCTTTTGCCATCCGACCCCCTTTTCTGCTGCAGGCTGCACGCCCATGCTGATGCTGATGCTGATGGTGTCATGTCGGCGTAATGGCCGAAAAGGACGAAAATCGGGATTTTGCGTGCGGAATGACTTTTGCGCCCCGCATTTAAATGAAGGCAAGCTTAAATGGATTCCGTGTAGCTGCCGGGCATGAGTTTAAATCCACTTCTTCAGCTCGGATTGATTTTTGCAGACCAGCTTCGTGCGAAAGTTGCCCCATCTCCAATTAACTTTGCACCTGTACCCCTTGCACCCTCTAATTGAGTTCGCCCTTTGAGACTTTTTATTTTGGCGTCGGAATTCATTTAGTGCAGAGTGCAGAGGCGCATATGCGGCATATATGGCATATATGTATTAGAGCAGATGGGACAGGTCGGGCTCAAGTTATCCTCCACGTGCCACACGGCTTGGCTGCCACGACGGTTTCGCGGCGGAGAACACTACACGACGGTGTCCTATTAATGGGAAATACTTTTTTGTAATTAAATAATAATTTAGCAAGCGGGGGCTGGTGAGGATGTGATGACGAACCCGCCTACGCAGGCCAAAAGACCCCAAAGTTACCATGGCAACAGCAGTCCTTATATCTTTATATAGGTGCACAGGGAAAATTAAATTAATGAACTTATGCTGTGCACTTGAATATGTTTTTTTCTTGCCACAGAACTTGTTTTCTCATATAATCATTTCTATTTAAAGCACAGACTCACGTTAGAGTTACTTTAAAAATTGTAGATACAATGGTCATTAAGTAAAGCAAATGGTTTTTAGTTATACATGACTAGTATATTATACTTAGAAGCAAACAAAAACGTAGTTATATTTACAATCCTAACCAATCCAATGGCTTTACGAATGTATTTTAGGAAGACAAGGATAATAATAACATTTTCAACCCCTGTTTTCGCAGTGTACACACTCGTGGGTATATATTTATTTGCCAACGAGCATTTGTGGTTTAATATCAGACACTCGCTGAGTTTATGGGGTCGTTGTCTTTCATGGCCAAAACCAAATGAGTGTAGTTCTTCATGAACTACTCACCACTGTTTTGGCAATTCCAAATGATTGGTGGTAACGTTTTACCGCGAACGATTAAACATTTAACTCCTTTTCCCGATTTAGAAGAAAATAAATGGTTTTCGACGCTTAAAACGCAGTCTGGCCACCTCAGATAATGCCACATGCTGCTGCGGTGGTATAATTTTAGGTTTTTCTGGCCGCAAACACCATGGCCCGCAGTGACAGCGGCGGCAAACACAAACAATTAGCCTTGCCAGCTGCAGTTGGCCGCAGGGCAGCAGTGCGTATACGTGATTTATGAATGCGGTGCACGCTTTTGCGGTTATCATGGGTGGTGGGTAATATTAGAGCCCAAAATTAGGGGGGATGGATGTTAATTCAATTAGTTCTATGCTCTGCTGTGTTTGCATACGGCCTTTGCCCAGAAGTGCTTTGTCCCGGGCGCATACGAATTCGAATTCGATAATTGATTTAGACAATCAATGCACTTTGGCTGCACTTTAACCCGGGGCAATCAGGAATGTGTGGATAAATATTGAGCAGATTTTCTGCTCCTTTGCCTGTCCACCAGTCTGCATCACCATTTAGCATCTTCCCTATAAATGTGTATATATGCATAAACAAAAATCCCAATGACTTTTATTCCACTGCAGAGCAATGAAAACTGAAATTCCTCTACCTCTGGCTGGTTCGTCCTTGCAGGCAAATGTAATGGCTGTGCAGACACATTGATAGCCACAGAAATGTTGGCAAATAGCAAAAATTTCACCTGAACCAAATTTCTCTGCAGGCCTGCGTAGAGTTGTTTGTTTGGTATTTGCCTTTGACCAACAGTTATGGGGTTGGGGGTGCAAAAATTCCGAAAAAACTACTGCAATAGTTCTGACAGAATAGAAAATCACAACAAGAGAGCGCACCGGCAACAAATAGCAAACAGCAAAAATCAACAGCAGCAAAGAATAAGCAAAAATATTTTCCCTACCTTCCAACAAATTGGCTGCCAAATGAAAAAGCTGTCGTTGGCAAGCGGAGGGAAATGTTGGGGAAATGTTGGGGAAAGTGTATGGACAGATAGATAGATGGGTGCTGGATGGATTCAAAATTAATATGTGGAGTGTGCATTCCATGGCGAATTCAACCATTCGAAGTTGAATTTGTGTAGTGCTGAATGGTGAAATTTCCATAACTGTTTATATAAACGCAGAGTATAAATACACAGAGCTTTGTGTGCACTTTTATGACAGTGGGTATGAAATTGATTCAGCAGATTTTTATAAAAATACGGATATCAGGAAAAATAAAATCTGACGAACTGTTTTCGACAGCTAATGCCCTTAACCAAAGGATATTCATATTTTTCTGGCTTTTTTTTTCCACAAAATACAATTTTTGGTCAAATTTCACAATTTTGCATCAGCTTCCTTTGCATAAATGGGTCCAGAAGTTACAAATTCCAATCGATTGGAATTTTTTCAGTAGCTCAAAGGGATTTAAATTCCATATTTGAAATTGTTGCATTGTTTTGTTCTTGCATTGGATTGGTATACATTTTCCAGTAATAATAAACGGAAATTGGACGTAATAAGCCAACTGAAATCAATACAGATTCCTTAATATCATATACAGCTCATCATCTCTTGTGAATTCAGACAGTATATATGACAGCACCCTAATTGAGCCTTAATTCAATAATATAAATTAAACTTTCACAGCACAAAAGAGAACCCATTTCGATAGGAATAATTTAAATGTGGCCCAGGGACCTGTATAATTGATGAGCCTTTTCGTTCGCTTTGTTTTGCAGGAAGCATATCGTCGCTGGGTCTGCAGTACACTAGTGCCATATTTCGCCGAGCCAAAGGACGTGTCGCCGAAGCCAAAGGACGATGGCCAGGGAGGTCAGGGAGGTCAGGGCAAGAGCAAACGCTCGGCGAGAAGTGCAGAGGCGGCGGACGGAATCAAGCATAAATCTCTGAAATTAATCAGCAATAACAATAAATCAAATAACGGCAATAACATGAACGAGCGTCAGATTAATCAGAAGCATGACAAGAGCTCGACTGCGAAGGCGAACGAGAACCCAAACTCCAACTCGAATGCGAATGCGAAGTTGAACTCGAAAGCCAGCAAGGACATTGACCGCAGCGTGGAGGAGGCGATTGGCAGGGACCTGGCCCAGACATTCTTCGATGTTGTTGGCCTGTCTAAGCCACGGTCCGGAGCAGGAGTGGAGGTCCTGCCAGATGACGAGCCAGGAGCAGGACCAGCACCCGATGCGGACCCCGAGGATGCGGACAGGGATCGGGAAAGGAACAGGGAGAGGAACAGGGACAGGAACAGGAACAGGGAGACGGACAGGGATACGCAGGCTGAGGCCGAACAACAATCCAATAATTTCATATCGACTGCCAATAATTCGGATCCCAGAGCCACGGATCCAGTGATATCAAAACTACAGAAGAGGTAAGTGGGATGCTTGAGCTATATCTTTATTTATTGCTAGGGAACATGTTTTTAGTTAGATGGTCTTTGTTAGAATATGAAACAAAAGAAAGGAATGAAGCAGGGTTATATATTATATTTTATTTGGAACATTCCACAATGTGCCAGTGCTTGGTAAATTAGAAATCTAATCACAGCAAAATATTTAAAAAGAATTTAAAATAAACAAATTCTTGAAAACCAAAGAATGGTAACCATTAAATGCTAAGATTACATTAAAATAATACGTTTTTCAAAAATTTTTCTTTTCTGTTAAAAATGAGACTAGTTTACTTTCCCCTACCTTTATAATTATTATAATATATAATTTGAATTTTTTATAACCATTAAAATAAGGACCCCAGAAATATAAGATAAGCATTAACTCATAGTTAATTATGGAATTGGCCTTAATACCTAAACCATTTTCCATCATATAGATCAACATTTCCGTTAATAGCAGTTATTTACTTTTTGGAACGAAAACGATTTAGAATTCTAATTATAATAAAAATATTTACTTTTTGGATCGATAAGGATTCAAATTCTAATCATAATAAAAACTATTAAGAGTTTTAGTGTTTTTACTAAATGACTAAGACTAGTCTTACCCCATATTATGGGTTAAGTAATAACCCTAATATGGGAAATAAACGATATAAAACGTTTAGTATTTTTACAAAATGACTATCCCAAGTATCTTACTAATGCCTATACCGTTTTCCATCCCATAGATCAACACGCAAGACAGAGTTCCGTAAGCGCCGCCGAATCCGGCCGTGTCTGAGCGTCTGCCAAACCGTGGAACAAAAGTGCCCCTACCTGCTGCCCGCCGATCGCGCCCCTGCGCTGCCCACCCAATATGCCGGCGAGCCGACATTTCTCTGCCTAGGTAAGTGGTCTTTTGAATATATCATATATATCTCATATCTCATAACCTAATCCCCTCCAGATCAAAACATACCCGAGACAGGGGCGCAGTTGGAGAAATCGAGCTACGGGCCCAACGACTGCTGCTACAGCTACTGCAACGGACCTGCCTCGGGGATCTGCACCGTCTGCCAGGAGTTCAGCCAGCCGAGGACGCAGGAGGAGGAGGTCTCTGCCCAGGGGAACTCCTCCACCCGCCGGGTGCACAACATCACGCTCTCGCTGAGCTCCCATCCCGGCGAGCATGCCCGGGCCAAGAGCGTGGCTCTGGCCCTGCGGAACGTGACTCACTCCGGTGGCGATCCGGATGCCGTGGAGACGCTGCTCGAACGCCTGCCGTACTATGCCCGCCACGAGGGGATCTTCTACTACGACGAGGAGGGCGAGATGCCGAAGGCGTCGCTCTCCGGCGACTGTGCCGTCGTGCCCCCGGCGACCACGCGCTGCACCATTCCGTACTACGCCTCTGGGACGGACGGATCGGTGGCCAAGGCGCCCACGCAGCTGCTGGTCTGGCTGAGCGCCCTGCTCGGCCTGCTCAGCAGCTGTGGAGCGGCCCGCCAGAGGTGGAGCTGCCAGTGGAGCGGCGGCGGAGGAGGATGTGGCGGATGTGGAGGGCACCGGGGTCGCAGTCGCCAGGCGGTGGCCTGCGAGGCCAGCTGCCACGAACAGGAGTTGGTCAAGAGCAGGCGGACTCCGAGGACAACGGCTGCCAGGGAAAGGAAGGAGCCACCACAGGATAGCCAGCCAGTGCCCTCCAGATCCTGGCTGTGGCCCACCTCCTGGCACACTTACCGGCTGACCTGCAGCAAAGTGCGATACTTTAGTAGCCGGAGTAAGTTCAAAGCTCAGTCCAGGCCCAGTCGGAGTGGCTCCACTAGCTTTAAGGACTCCGCCAGCGGACTCCAGTGGAGTCCAGTGGGGGCTGGGTGCATTAGGACTAGGAACTATCGCTACTTCTACTACTACAACTACAACATCAACGATTGGTGGCGGAGATGGTGGCGCTGCCTCAGCAGCGGCGCCTTATAGTGCCTGCGAAGGATAAGGAAGGGATAGAGAAGGGATACGGAAGGCATTCGGAAGGACTTCCATGACGACTCCCCTAGTGGACAGGCGATATACCAAATACTAATAATAGCTAAATCAGAATCGATGCATTATAGATGTGGCAATGGTCAAAACAAGAGACACACAGAACACAACACAACATAACACACACCAGATCCATGGATTACGAATTAAACGAAACGGAAAACAGAAACCACTTAAATATTTATGGTCCTCTTTCAAACGAAATAAAAACAAGCATGAATTAATTATAAATCTCTATTGAAACAAAACCAAAATAGCATATTTTATTACAACTAGAACAAAGAATATGAATATTTAATTAAACAAAAAGCAACTGCCACAAGAATAGGTTTTTTAGATAAACGATAACGGAAGTATAAAAGGAAACAAAAAAAAAGAAGAACATTTAACAAAACGCATACAACTAAAATATAAAAGGGGATACCGACGGAAAATATAAATAGTTATTAATTTAATTACTGGCGAACAAAAATACGAAAAGTTTAGGTTAGCTATAAAAACCAAAAAAAGACGAAAAGAAAAATCCAAATTTACTAGACTAACAATTTGAAGACGGCAACGGCGATTAGAGAAAGTAAAAGGGCGGAAAATTAAGACACCATTTCAGTCGGAAAACATCGTATAGGCCGCGTATCAACCACCTTTCAAAGAAAAAGCGAAACGTGAACTTTACTTAAATTAGTTTAAAGCGGTATATATATGCTATATATACCATAGTCAAGGTGGGAGCGATTTAATTAACAATTAAAACAATTAACGGGAATGGAAAACCAAAAGAAGCCGCAAAAGTGTCTAAAAACGTCTTTATTTAGTTTAAAAAAAGAATAAGAGTGGAAACGTAAACATTTGTATAATCCCAGAAAAAAACAAAAGAGCCAAAATGAAAAAGAGAAGAGTATGTAAAGCGCACAGTAAAAACGTATCTTTAAGATTCATCGACCGACATAGCGAATCTGCATTCTGAATCGGGTAAAAAACAGAAACAGAAACGGAAACGGAAGCATTACCAGCATATAGAACCATGCGCCACATAGGTCATACATTTGAGTATGCATATATGAACGATAGATATAGTCAAACATGTGCAACGTAAGCCGCTAAATAAGATAGAGAGGCGTGGTCAGAAACCGAAACAGAAACAGAAACAACAACAATATACCTACTATATAAATACTAACAATGAATAATAATACTTTTTGTAATAAAGTGAACTCTATGTAGCGTATATATATATTAATTATATATATGAAATATATATATTTATATAATATATATTGTCTTAACAACTTATCGTACATAACTTGCAGCAAAAAATGAAAACTATGAGAAAACAAAAGAACAAATAACAAAAACCGAAAACCAAACGAGAAACCCCGAACCCCTAACGGCGAAAACAAAACACGTAAATAATTAAGAAATATTGAAATAATTAGTCGTATTTGGTATTAACTAATTAACTATTAAAGTAAGAACTAAACAATTTGAGAGAACCCTCTGATAGAGCACACTCGCCCACACTCTCACAGATATAGGAAGACACCTTCTTTGAGCACTCCTAACGGTTCAGTTACAGTAAGTTTCCCCACCACCCAATCACTTCCGATCACCACCTGTCACTCCACTTCTTTGACAACCCCTCCTATGTTTCCGGAAAGGTGTTTTTTTCGATCTTCTTCTCTGAGGTCTATTATCGAACGGTTTAACCCACTGCAGGCAGTGTCGGAGTTACCAGGATTTAAGTCTATTAGGAATGCTCTTCCGTTGCTAAATCGGAACGTTTCCAGCATGAATTTCCACAACAAATTTGCATTACCAAAAACTGACGAAATTACTTTAGGAGGAGATAGGTTAGCAGGATAGCAGGGCGGTATGGATTTTGTTAGATGTCGTAGTAGTAACGTAAACAATTTAACGAGCCTTCATTACGAACCCTCCATTTCTCTCCGATTAGCCCCCCCCCCATATATCAATAGATCTTTGTAAATACAGATTACGTATGAGCAATTCGCCTCGTCTCCATCTGCACAGTCCTATCACCAAAAACGATCCATACAAGTATATCTTCCACTTCTCGCTCTTATGATTCCCAACCAAAGTTTCCCCTAATTGCGGTCATATGCGAAACTCTTTCCGTAACATATATAACAAATGTATATGAGTTGAGGTGGCCAAACTTTTCACTTATTGGGGCGAATGCGTAACCTTTTCTAAGCAAACAAAACAACAAGGAGCGTGAAAGTAGGAGAAAGGCGGAACGACACCGTTATCAAACATTTCAATGGCGGAACGGAAGCGGAAACGGAAATGGTAACGGAAACAGAAACAAAACAGCAAAGGAACAGAGCAGAGTCAGCCGCTGGCACAAATTGCGCGCATATAGAATGCAAATTGTTATGAATTATTGTGTACTTTTGTAAAACTTTTTGATATATATAATATAGTTAACATGAATAGATGCCTAAATAATAATAAATTAAATGTTAATTTATTTAAATGTAAACAATAAATAGAGAAGGACACTGGAGTAGGCCGGGGCATCGGCATCGGTTTTTTTGGTTTTAAATCGCAAAATCGTTGGCAAATCGATCCCAGAAACCAAAACCGATCCGATCCCCAGCATTAGCGTATGTACGAAATAAATTTTAGGCACCGGAAAACGAGGATCTTAACTCCAGATTCAGATTCGTTCCAGGATTTCCCAGGCGATTTCCCTTGTGCATAGCGAAACTAGTTGAATTGTGTACGTAACGTGGGTAAAAGTCATAGCACCAGATCTAAACCATCGTACTTTGCAGTAGACACATCGCAGCGACACCATCTCATGCGATCCACACAAAACACACACAAATCACACAATCGATACAAATTCAAATTCAAATTCAAATCCAAATCCGAATCAATAACCAATTAGCACGAATTATACAATAATTTTTGTAATTGATTAGCCGCTGCCACACAAACAAAAACGAAAATCGAAAACCAACAAGCAAAAAACAAAAAAAAACTCCGCTGCAGCGTACGCTAGCAATTATTTTTTACAAAAACCAAAGAAAAAACTATTTAAAATATGTAAAAAAAAGAAGAGATTTTTAAAAACCGAAACCAAATTGGAAACACGAAATTCTTTTTAGGCCAAATGAAATTACATAATTGTGTGCCAGGACAAAAGTGACAAAAAATATATAAAAACAAAGGAAGCGTTAAAATGTGTTGTATTTGATATCATGCAAGCATGCACAGAAAAACCGAACAAAGGCGAATAATGAAAACCAATTAATATAAACGAAATTCATAGCGTCAAGTCAAATTTAATTTAATTAAATGAAAACATAGACTAATTTAATGGAAAGCCACACAGCTAGCAAGCAAAACAAAAAGTCTCCATAAAATTGAATACTCTAACCATAGTATTTCCCGAATGAAAAGTTTGCATAGTGAAAAATCGAAACCCCCACAATGACAAGCCCCTTCCAAATAACAGTAATTTAGTGAAAACTGATAAAGAAACGTAAAATCTAAAATCCCACTTGAGACAGCTAAAAACTTTAAAAAAACTAAACTGAAATCTTCTGTACTTGTTATTAAAAGGAAAATACAAAACGTAAGGATAAACAAAACATAGAAAAATCAACAAATTATAAAAAAAAAACGATGAAAAATCCAAAAATAGAACACGGAAAAACGAAATTTCATAGTCCTTAAGCTAAAGTCTAAAAACGAAATGAAAGTAATTTCCCCCAGCCAAACTATCTAAAGTAATGAAAATGATTTCCAAACGCGGACGGAGAAGGAAAATAGTAATACTATCTAATAATAATGGCAACTGGCATAATTATGGTAATTGTAAAATAATTAAACAATGACGTAAACGTAATACCAAAAACGGAAAAAATCGAAAATAATAAAAAATAAATTGTTGTTATTGAATGTATTTGTATAGAAAAATTATTATGATTATGACGATGAATAATAAATGATTACAAAAATAATAATTATTGTTCAAACCGAAAAAGCAAACAAAAAAAAACAAAACAAATATATATATATACGAGAAAACGTCTTTGACTTCCTACTGGGATGGAGTGGAAGTGGAGGACAGGATCCCGGGTCACGGGTCACAGGTCACAGGTCACGGGTTTCGGGTCCATCGAGCACTCCTCTCTGACACGTGCCAATTCCCGTGGGTTTTGCTCGGGAAAAAGAGGATTAACGGTCGGGGAAAACCCCCAACAAACAAAATAATTAGGAGCTCTCGAGAGAAATGGAGAAAACGGAGGAAAATGTCACAAAAAAGATGAAAATGGCCGTATGTATAAACAAAAAAATAATCCCATGATTCAGGATTAGAAAAAAGGATGACAGTATGTGCCCAAAACTGTGTTTAAACTTCTAGCTTATATAGTTCCGTTGTGATGAGAATTATATATTTATAGAGTTAACCTTTTTAACTAGAAACACTGGGATTTTAAAACCAGTGTTAAAGGCGCCTACAAGTATGCAGTAAAAGAAGGAACTAAAATTTACAATATTTAAAATATTGTTGCATACTTTTAGTCACCATTTTTAAAGATGACAGTATGTGCCCAAAACTTGTTTATACTTCTAAGCTACATAGTTCCGCTGTGATGAGAATTTTATATTTATAAAGTAATCCTTTTAACTAGTAACCAAAGGAGTGCCTCTTTAAACACTGAGACTTTAAAACCAGTGGTGAAGGTGCCCACAAGTATGCAGTAAAAGAAAGAACTAAGTTTTACAATATTTAAAATATAGTTGCATACTTTTAGTCACCATTTTTAAAGAATTCAAATTTCTAGAGCGTTTTTCGAACCAGAAACAAACGTAGTTCTGTAAAGGATCGATTTTAAGGATTTGACCCAAAGGACTTTATTTAATTTACACACTCTAGTTGTACGATTTGAATGGAAGGTATAACTATGCATATCTGGGGAGCTCTGCGTGTAAATCTTGATTTCCCCGAAGCAGCTAACCGGCAAAGTGGCGGCAATCAAGTTGTGAAACCAGCGAACGGTGGCAAATGGCATGTTCTGAAATCTCGCACGCACTTGCGTTTAAAGTGCTTCTGGGATTGTTCGGGGAGGGGAGCAAAAAGCGGGGGAGGATGGTATGGGGGCTCCGTCGACATTGTATTATATAACTTGTGTAACTTTCACTTTTCGAGCCCGCTCAACGCAGGTGCTTAGCGGTAGTAACAGCGGCAACATCAGCAGGCAGCCGCAACAGCAAACACTCTAATTAGAAGGGAGGACGAGGCAGCAGGACGAAGGACGAAAGGACGAAGGCGGTCGGGATAACCCCGAAGCTGGATCCTCCGAATCCGTAGCCGAATCCGAATCCTTCGGCTCCTTTTTGTCCATGGGAACTGTGCCGCCGCTTTGCCGAGTTTTCAGATACGTTTCGGCTGGCGAAAGGGAAAGTTCGAGCTGCGTGTAGACGGACGCCGGGAAATTCTCCTTCGCTTTTCCGGCTCTTTTGTGCGAGTTTTCTGCGGGCTGCGTGTGAACGCACTTTTGGTACGTGTTTGTCCGCCGTTCAAATGAAAATTTAAATGGAAATGGCAACGTGTGTTTTTGTGGGGCTAAATATTTGCCCAGCGTTAACGAGTTGTGCGACAAAGTCAACGGTCAACTTAAGTTTTTTTTTTCGTCTGTTTACTCTAGCCCACTTGCGGCTATTTTGGCATACTTTTTGGCGCCTTCTCAGCGGAAAAAATACGGAATGAAAAATGCAACTGTAATTGCGAATACGTCCAAAATCATTTATTTCGCATGAAAACTTTATGCCCACTGACAGCTACACGGATTTCCACTCAGGCCCAAATGCGAGTGGCAAAAGGTCAATGCTAATTGACACCGACGGGCCAAATGAGTTGGGAATTTCTCGATAATTGGAAATTCAATTACTGTTAGTCGTAGCATTTTGAACGTTTGCCAAATGGCGGTAAAGGGCAAGGTAGTTTTGCCAACATTGTAGGACAGTCGGAAAATATGGTCTGTTTTTCAAAAGATTTACTCAAATACTGGGGTGGTTTTGTGGATTAAAATATTTTGGAGCAATAGCAAACTAAATTATAAAAGATATTTTATATTTTCTATAATTTGTTGAATTTTATAATTTAAGGTTTGGGAAAAAAATATGTTCGTTTCGTGCATTATTGAGATGGTAATTATGAGAAAGTAGTTAGAAATAAATTATAAATTTTTGCTTGATCCTAAAATTATAAAGTCCTGTTTCACATAATTATTAAAATTAACTTGGTCGTGTTTTTTTACATTTCAAGTAGCTAAGAGTTTTTCCAAGGCTTGGTTAAGTGTAAAGTAAAGCTCTTGTTAAAATTCTAAATATTAGTAAGAATTTTTTGAAGTTAAAAATTTTTTAAAATTCGTTATAGATAGTTACAAGCCCTAAAATTTATATTCAAGGTTGTGCTTTCACTGTGCAACCCTTTACAATTTGGAACCATTTCTTTTCTGGCCACTTACTGTTTGCCAGCATCTTCACCTCATTTAAATATTAATTGAGCCCCCGTTCGAATAGCGTACTATGAGTGGAGAATGAGGCAAGTGACACGCGCATTGCCGGGTCAAAGTCAGGCCCTCCTCATCGGCCTCATTATCGTCGTGTGCGCCGCATTCATAATTCACAGTGAGCCAGTCCGCGAAGCGAAAGCTCAGCGGAGACGCGAACCCGGCGAGGTGAATTCGCCGCCTGCCAACGGTGCGTATGAACAGCCTTACAAAAGTAATGGCCTAGAAAAGCGTTTTGCGCAGTGTGATTGGAAAAATGTAAAAATGCATTTCCCGCAGTTAATAATGGTAATGGAAGCAAGAAGAATCACAATCGCATTCCGCGCAGTGTATTCCACGTGCGCTGGAATCCCAACGAGAAGTTCATCGTGGAGAGTCGTGAAAATCCGGCCATCAACTCCTCCAAGCTGGCTCCC